GAGGTAGCACGTACCTGTAGTTCCAGATACTCGGAAGGCTGAGGCGGAAGGATCGCCGGAGCCCAGCAAGTCGAGGCTGCGGTGGCCAGGAGTGGCCACTGCACTCCAGTCTGGGCGACAGAGTGAGACTCCAACTCAAAAAAAAATTAAATAAATAAATAAAAATAAAAATAATTCTGGCATTAAAAATTATTCTCAGGCTGGGTGTGGTGGCTCAAGCCTATAATCCTAGCACTTTGGGAGGCCGAGATGAGGGGAATGCGTGAGCCCACAGGTTCGAGAACAGCCTGGGAAACATGGTAAGACCTCATCTCTACAATACATAAAAAAATTAGCCAGGCATGGTAGCATGCGCCTGTAGTTCTGGCTACTTGGAAGGCTGATGCAGAAGGATCGCCTGAACCCAGCAGGTTGACGCTGGGGTGGTCATGAGCATGCCGCTGCACTCCAGCCTCGAAAAACAAAAAAAATCATTCTCCTAAAACTAAGAGCCACCCTAGTTTTCTAATGAAAGTATTATTTACCTATAATACCCAAGAGAATCAACTGAAAAACTAACCCATCTAATGAGTTCTATAAGGGACTAGTAGCAAACAGATACACTAACAATCAATTTTTTAAAAACAAGCAAATGAAAAAAATCAACACTTAATTCATTTAGTAATCTTTTTATTTTTTATGAGTCGGGGTTTCACTCTGTCACCCAGGCCAGAGTGCAGTGGCATAATCCCAGGTCATCATAGCCTCAACCTCCTGGGCTCAAGCGATCTTCCATCTCAGCCTCCTGATCATAGGCATGTGCTGCCATGCCCAGCTAATTTTTTGATTTTTTTTTTTTTTTTGTAGAGACAAAGTCTTACTATGTTGCCTAGGCTGGTCTCAAACTCCTGGGCTCAAGCTATCTTCCTGCCTCAGTCTCCTAAGGTGCTAGGATTACAGGCGTGACAGCCCAAGAGTTTGAGACGTGACTCACCAATCTTGGTCTAGTTAGTAAACTTTTTACTGAAGTATATGATATACATACAGAAAAATGCAGAAATCCTAAGTATATAGCTAGAAGAATTTTTACATTTTGAATACACACAGGTAACTCACACCCAGATCAAGATACAAACTTCTTTTGTTAAATAGCACCTTTGGTAAGATTAATTCATATTGTTTTTTGAAATTTATTTTTTGTAAAGATGAAGTCTCGCGATATTGCCCAGGCTGGTCTTGAGCTCCTGGGCTCAAGCAACCCTCCCACTTCGACCTCCCAAAGTACTGGGATTACAGGCGTGAGCCACTGCACCTGGCCCATATTGTTACATGTGGTTGTAGTCCATTCAATCTCACCTCTATACAGTGTTTCACTATGTGACTACACACAATTTATTATTAATCTATTCCACTGCTGATATGCACACAGGTAGTTCCCAGTGCTTGGCTAATATAAATACGTACGTACATTCATGTGTACGTACATTCATTCTTTTTGGTAGACATATGTATACACTTCTGTTTATTAATACTAATGGATGAACTGTTTAGTCCTACAGTCTTCAAATTTAGGACTGGCTTTAACAGATATGGCCAAAGAGTTTTTCAAAATGATTGTACCAATTTAAGGCTCCTACCAGCAGCATGAGAACTCCAGTTACCCCATATTCTTGCCAATAATTGATACTATGTTTTTCCTTTTAGTAATTTTGGTATATTATGGCAGTTTGATTTTTTTGATTTTTGTAGTTCCTTATTGACTAATACAGTGAAACACTTTTTCACTGGCCATGTGTATCTCCTTGTTTGTAAAGTGAATTCTGAATAAGCATGTAGGACCCACAGCGTAGATCAGATGAAATAGTTCAGGAATCAGAATAAATATTGCTGGCTTTAGACAGCCTTCATTAAGTTGGGTATATTTCATTGTACAATTTGTGGCACTTATAAGGAACAACTGGTTAAAGAAAGACTTTCAAGGAGCACTTACGATAAAACTCAAGTTAATGAGGATCATTCGATAATAACTACACATTTTATCCAAACGAGTTATTAAATCCAAGTTTCATTCATTTGTTCAAAATGTCCAGATAACACATCAAAATATTTCTAGCACTTTAAAAATTAATGTTAAAAAGAAAACATGAGCCGGGTTCAGTGGCTCAGCCTGTAATCCCGTGCCTTTGGGAGGCTGAGGTGAGTGGATTGCCTGAGCCCGCGGGTTCGAGCCCCGCCTGGGCAGCGAGACCTCATCTCTACAATAAATCAAAAAATCAGCCGGGCGTGGTAGCGCATGCCTGTAATTCCGGCTACTGGGAAGGCTGAGGCGGAAGGATCGCCGGAGCCCAGCAGGTCGAGGCTGCGGTGGCCGGGAGCAGCCACTGCACTCCAGTCTGGGCGACAGAGTGAGACTCCAACTCAAAAAAAAGAAAAAAAAGAAAACATTATCCAAGCATGGTGGCTCATGCCTGTAATCCCAGCACTTTGGGAGGCGGAGACAAAAGGACTGACTGAGTCCAGGGGTTTGAGACCAGCCTGGGCAACTTGGCAAGACCTTGTCTCTATAATAAATCAAAAAATTAGCTGGGTGTGGTGGGCACCTATAGTTCCAGTTACTCAGGAGGCTGAGGTAGGAGGATCATCTGAGCCCAGCAGGTTGAGGCTGCGGTAGCTGTGAGTGTGCCACTACACTCCAGCCAGCCTGGGTGACAGAGTGAGACTCCTACTCAAAAAATAAAAATAAAAAAAGGTTTAAAAATTTATATTTTAAAAAATCATGTCCAAATGTCTAAACTTTTAAATCAAGACAAGATGTGGAAAAACATGCTAGACAGCTGGTTTGAGGAAAGCTTTTGGTAATATACAAAGAAACAAAAGAAAAAAGAGAGAGAGAGATCTATTTTATTCACATTCTTCACTCTGTTCTATCCTTTGCTTGAAGAATTTCTCTAAATGATCTTCCACTTAAACTGTTCTGAAATGAGCTTACTGAGGAAAAGTCTTTTGGAGTACGTACACTTCACTCTGTCTCTCTCACTGTCTCTCTCACTGAAAGCCAACTAAGGATGCTAGATGAGGAACAGTAAGCAAGCAGGCAGATGATGGGACTCAAAGTACCACCAAACTGGCTGTGAGCTTCCTGTTTTTTATTTTCTCTGATACTTTTTGGCCTAGACTCAGGGACAGCCTGAAACCTGAAACCTGGATCTGTACACTGGGTGCAAATGTGAACAGCTTCAAGAGAAGCCCACTCTTTCTGGTCTGAGCAATAGGAGACAGAGGTCTCTAAGGGACAGAGTAGGGAAATAATAATTTTGGGGGTTTTTTAAGATTGTTTTCATTCTCTCAGGCCCTGGCTCCCAAGCAATTCCATGGTAGCAGCAACAGCAGCCCAGCAGCACAGGCACATACAACAGCAAGCCAAGGGGATGGGGGAACTCCCTGTTGCTTGCTGCTGCTGCATTTTTTTTTGCTCCCTTGGTCTTACCTGCCCAAGACAATCTTGCGGCTGCAGTAACAACAGACATGGCATACTCTGGTTTCTCTTCAGATTATATAAATCTTTCACCTTACACAAAAGATTTCAGTGGAGAGGAACAACTCTGGGTCTTTAACCAATTTTTTGAGGCCTTGCATTTGCAGGGTTTATTTTTCAGTCCAAAAGAGAGAACTTGTAGTAGGTTTCAAGATTTGTAAGTAACTATATGCTGGAGTTACAACTATACTCAAAAGGTGATGGGGAAACTTGAACTTTGACATGGAAAGTGTTATGCTCCGCAACCCTCACTTATTTTTTGCGACGATTTCAGCATTTGTGCTTGAGTTGTAACTGCTGTTACCCCGTGTCCTAGGTCTCTTTAGAGGCGCTTTTTTTTTTTTTTTTTTTTTTAAGAGACAAGGTCTCACTCTGCTACCCATGCTGGAGTGCAGTGGCATGATCAAAGTTCACTGCAGCCTTGAACTCCTGGGGTCAAGCAATCCTCCTGCCTTGGCCTCTCAAAGTACTGGGAATAGAGGCATGAGTCAGCACAACCAGCCTCCACTCCAGGGTGCTTTTGAAAGTAAGTGAAGATTGCAAACTAGAAAAGAGCATACACAGCATACTTCTTTTGTGTAAGAAATAAGAGAAAATAAGAAAAAATACATGCATCTTTATGTTTTTGCAAAAATAACTAAACAAATAAGAAAAGAGAATGAAGTGGTTACCTACAACAACAAGGGAGAAAGAATGAAGGGACGGGGAGGGAGCCAACTTCTCTGAGTACATCTTCCTTCATGGCTTTGGCTTTGAGAACCATGTTAATAATCTACATTTAAAAAGTAAAATAAAAACTTCTTTTTTTTTGAGTTGGAGTCTCACTCTGTCCCCCAGGCTGGAGTGCAGTGGTATGCTCACAGTCACCCCAGCCTCGACCTGCTGGGCTCAGGCAATCCTTCTGTCTCAGCCTTCCTACAGGCATGCGCCATCACACCCGGCTATTTTCCTTGATTTACTGTAGAGATGAGGTCTCGCCAAGTTGCCC